CTTAATTATCATCATTTGCATTGCCACGCAACAATTTATGTTACTCTTATTAAATGATTAACATAATAATGAAATGATGATGCTTAGTTTTTTTTCAACATGTAAAATGAAAGGTATTTTAGAGAGAAAATTTATTTAAATAACATTTGAATTGATAAATTTAAATTTAAATTTTAGATTTAAAATCCATGAATTTAGGGCACGTTTGGTTTTATTACATTCCACATTTCAAAAGTCTTTCCCCACTTTTTAAATACTAGATGTTGTTTGGATAGTTATAATGGGTGTAAATAGACTTTCTAAAAGGACTTTAAAAAATAAAATGAATGTGGATTTGGCAACTTGCAATTTGGGAGCTCTTGAAACGCACTTTGAAAAAGGTATTAAAACTCATTTTATGATTGAACATGTTGTCCTTTGATGCAATGCAAGCCACAGTTCAAATATCAATGAGTATACATTTTCATCATCAATTCTAAGTGTAAATTTAAATATGACTTCTAATAGAAAAAATGAATAATATTCATGAATCTATTAGAGATCATATTATATATTATAGATTAAATTATTAATTATGTAATCATTCAATATTAATAAATATTAAATTATTTATTATATAATTTTTTCAATACCCCAAAAAACCAAACTCTGCCTTACGTAAAGTTGCCAGAGTATGCTTAACCTCTGGATTTGAAATCACTACTTATATACCTAGTATTGGCCATAATTTACAAGAACATTCTGTAGTCTTAGTAAGAGGGGGAAGGGTTAAGGATTTACCCGGTGTGAGATATCACATTAAAATTTATATCTTTTATTTTTATTATTTAACATATTAAATTTTATGTTATTTTAATTTTTTCACATTTTTTAAACATATTTAATATATTAAATTTGTATAATAAAAATTATAAATTATCATAAATTAATATCCTTTTTTGTCATTATATGTTTAAAAGTACATTTTAAAAGTATAAATCATCATTAATCTAAATAACTTTCAATTTATCAAACTGACTTTAAAAAAAATATATCCAAACATAAATTTTATTATAACAACGGATTTGCACTAAATTTATTTTTTCTAAATAGACTTTTAGTAAGTTGAAAACCAACACACACTTAAAATCATTTGTTTGGATATTATAAAAAATTTTAAAGGTAGAGGAGAAGTAAGTAGAGGTTTGATGTAGAAACAAAAGATCGATGATGACAAGCTTACCTATATTTTCAAATCAACGAGAGGTGAGGATGAGAGAAGAGATGGGAGGCAAGAGTAATTGAGACACCAAATAATAAAAAATAGAAAAAATCATGAGGGTTGAAGTAGCTATAACTTTAAATAACTAGAATCTAGAGATAATTTTAAATTAGAAAAAAGTTGTAATAGAGCATATATTTGGATTTGAATAAAATGCCAATCTATGAACTAGGATGTACCTAAACGAAGATTTGATTTAAATCTAAATTCTCATATATTCAAATGCATCTTTAATAATTTGTAAATTTAAAAGATGACTTATATTTTTAGATTATAAAAACACTTCATAAGATGACTTATTCTTAATACTTGTCTCATCCTATTTATGGGAAAAAGAAAGAGTATTTTTTATCTTATTTATAGGGAATTTCAATAATTATTACGTGACTTTTAATATGCATGGAAGATTATTAAGTATTGGAGTATTTTAGTTTTAAAGTTTGTATATCTAATAGGATAAAATTGAAAACATGTTGAATTTTTAGACAAAATTAATGAGATTTAATATTTTTTTTGATTTGGATGAAATATAGTAAAGTGATTTATAAATGTGATCAAAGAGAGTATTTGAGATGGTAGGAAGTAACTTAGGATATAGCCTTGGAGAGAGGTAAAAATACGATTGAATTTGTTGAATCTTAGTTTTGATGATTACAAAATAAGAGAAATTTTTATATTTCAAGAAATATTTATAAGGTTAATGGCTTGTAAGGGAGAAATGATATTATATAAGGTTAATGTCTTGTAAGGGAGAAATGGTAAAATTGCTTTAAATCTGACTTAAAATCCTTATTCCTAAATAAAATTTCTATTCCTAAATACCCAAGAAAATCAAATATGATTATAAGCTAAATTGAATTGTGTTTCATTCTAAGGTTAAGTATTTGACTTAATCTGATTCTTGTATAGGCTATTTTTAATAATTAAACAAGTATTTTAGTTGAACTTAGTGTTTAAATTCATTTTTTGAAAGCTTATGTGAATTTTGATTCCAGTGATCCTTATTCTGGAATAAGTAAGCTATTTCAAAATAGCTTGTTCCCATATTCCCTCTTTATTTTGAAGTAACCCTACTTTTCACCTATTGAATTCCTTATTTCAGAATAACCTCTTTATTTCAGTGCAATGGTTACTATCCCTAAGCTTTAACCTATTTGTGTTATCCTGTAACACATTTCTTTATTTAGGAATAACCATCCCCATTTTAGAATAAACCTTTTTATTAGGGTTTCATGTTCCTTATTCAAATATAGCATCTTTGTTTCTAAATGATGCTCCATAAATAGCATCTTTGTTTCTAAATGATGCTCCATAAATCATTGCCTTTGAATAGTGAACAATGTGCTTGTTCATGAAACATTCTTAACTATTCTGGTATAAGCACCTTTACTTCAAAATAAGGATGAAGAATGTTGCTTTAATTCTTTAGATATCCTTGTTCCTGAATAGCATCATTCTTCCAATATAAACTCTCATCTACTTTTTTTCAAGACATCTATGGCAAAGAGCCGCTATTTTTCTTACTCACTGTGAGAGAGAAACTTCATCGTAAAGCATTACTCCCTCTATTAAAAAATGAAGGTATTTTTAACCTAAACTCAAGCTCTAATAAAATAGTTACTTATTTTTAAATTAACCATATCTTTCCATATTCGCCTCTATTTAATAAAATGTTTTACCTTAAAATAAATATAAAGTATTTATTTAATAGGGATACTTTTAAAAAAAAGACAATGATTATACCTTAAAAAATTAAAAATGCCTTATATTTTTGAATATTTAACCTCTCAAAAAATGCCTTATATTTTTTAACAAAGAAAGTATGGCATTGCCTCATTTATAGAGAAACTAAGAAGACAAAAGACAATAATTCTAACGAATATATTCATGTGTCTAATGAATCGTTTATAAAGAACACTATAACTAAATTTGTTTTTGAAGATGATGAACAAGAATGAACACCCGAGTTAATAGACGAGCTTATTCACTTATTGTTTTACATACCTTATATTGTTATATTCATTACAAGTAAGCTTTATTGATTATAAATTAACTCTTTGAGAGAGTATTTAACGAAAGTAATTTATCATTAAACTTACTTTATTCATCCTCATTTCTATATTTGAAATAGATAATGTTAAACTCAAAAAGCTTAAGTGAGTGATACAAACTTGAGTGCAAGTATGAGATTATATGGAGACAACTAATAATTTGACTTAATTTGGTAGAAATAGCGGAGAAAATTTCAAGTACAACTTAGGAATTAGATTTAAGCTTAAGTGGTTGGAGTTGAATTAAGATAACTAGTCTTTACAAGCTTCTCTTCTCCATTCTCATTCTTGTTTGATGATATTATTTCTAACTTATCTTTTTACTAGTTAAATTTTTATTAAGCCCAATTTACCCTGCGGACATTGAGAATTGTCTTGGTCTAAATTAAAGTCAAATCATTATAGATCTTTAAATCACCTATTAAAGATTAGGTCAGGGCATCTAAGCTAATGAAGGAGAATCATTAAATATAATCCACAATTTTTCCTTTTTATTAAAGCACAAAAAACTTCTTTCACTGTCAGCTTGTGTTAATAAAGTAGCATCCCACAACCAACAAGCAATGGACATCAGGACAGGGAAAAGCAACTTGTATACATGAGTCCTTCCCTTAATCTAATCGAAGAAAATGCTGAAATGACATTAATTTAGGACTAAGAATGAATATGTTTACCTTTAAAAGGTGTGAAAGACCTATTTTTTCAAAAGAAAAAGGAAGTGAAAGATTGAAAGAAGGGGCCAATTCCAAGAGGTTTCCAAGTCTTCAAACTGTGGGGTTCATGACAGCATAAAATTGAACAAAGACTTGGACAAAATGTATACCAATATAATTAAGTACAGTACATAATTACTTTTTTGATGATTTATTTGCAAACATATATCTTTAGAAGAATATAATATAGGCTGCACTAATTATCGAAATTTGGAGCTAGTACATGTATGCATGTTCACAAAGCAAATCTCCCAGCAATGAAATAGGGGACCACTCTGACTGACTATCGAAGTACGAGTATAAGCGCCCTCAGGTGTCTGGAGAACCGTTTACAAAACCTCAACTTATGTTTATCAAAAAATAAAAACATCAAAATGTTCTGCGAGATGGTTTTTCTAAAAGCAAGAACATACGCTGAAAGAAAATGAAAGAACGGCTGGCTTGGGTGGGCCCACATGTCAGATGAGCTTCACCATTCTATTTTGTGTTGCTCTCATCGCCTGTATTTAGATTTATCTGAAAAGAAATTAGGCCTGTTATCAACTAGTTATTTTCAATTAAATTCAATAATACTGGAATTTGATCAAGTAAGATAGCTTACATCGGGTTAAAAAAAAAAAAAAAAAGAGTCTGCTAATGTCTTTCCAATTTTTCATACGCTAATCAACAGTCTTTGTAAGGAGTTATGGTTGTTGAGGCGTAGAATTTATTGGAATCAAAATGGTCCGTAGTATTTAAAATTCTTCCCCTAATGTCCACCTCAACTTGTTCGTCGCACTATTTACTATTTAGCAGCCTTTTCAGGAGAAAAGCTGATGCAATGACTTTCCACCCTAAATTTTCTCTAGAGATCCTTTACGATGCTTTTATAATAAATCTCATTTAAATGTGTGTGAGATTTGTACGTAATTCTCATAATTTTTTCCCCCTCAGAGCAGTTGAAGTAAGCAAATGAGAGGAGGAGAAGGAGAAAGATTAATAAAAATAATAAAATCATGATTTATTCAAACCTAGATAAACACACCATCATCCACAAAACTCTAGCAGTAGCCACCTCACTTCAATACAAAAACCCATAGAGTTACTGCGTACTCATACCCAACACATGGCACAGCTCTGTGTCTGATGACGTGGAGCCATGTGCTTACATGTAGGCATACTATTCCTCCATTTTTTTTAAAATATAATAAAATTTAAGCCCCGTCCAAATACTTAACTTCACCACCGCGTTAATGACAAAATAGCAGTAAAATAAACTAGGAACATTAATGAACAGAAAAGCTTTTCAACTTTGACATGCAAAAAAAGAAAAGTGAGACCTGAGTGCCAACAACTAGGCTTTTTTGTTTCCCCTTCTCCATTGAAGCTCAAGCTCAAGCTCAAGCTCCAGTCTTCTCAACAGTGGCTTCTTTGGCTTCTTCCTCCTTTTCTTCTTTCTTCTCCTCAGTAGCTTCTTCCTTCACTTCTTCTTTCGGTGCTTCTGGTTCTGCTGCTTCTTCCTGTGTTTTAGCAGTTTCCTTAGCTTCCTCTTGTTTTCAGCCTCTTCCGTCTTCACTTCCTCTGTTTGCTCAGGTTTGACTTCCTCCGGTTTAGCTTCTTCAGACTTGGCTTCCTCCTTCACTTCTTCTTGTGTAACTTCCTTGGTCTCAACTTCAACAGGGGCCTGCGTTTCTGCAGATTCTTCTGGTTTTGCTTCCGCTTCTTTTGCTGCTTCACTGATTTCCTCGTCCTTTGGTTGCTCTGTCTTCTGCTTCTGGGACAGCAGCCTCGGTGGCTGCCGGAGCTTTTTCTGGGGTTGTCTCCTCGACCTTGGTTACCTCGGTTGCTTCATTCTCTGTCACTGCTGGAGCCTGGGCAACCTGCAAATCAGACCCATATTCATTTCACGAAGTAGTCTAGAACATGTTCTTTCCTTAATTTTGACGAGTCCGATGAAAATTTAGATCGGAAAAAGGTTGTTGTGACTCCAACAATCAATTAATTAAGTGCAACTCGATCTTGCCGATCATTGAACCGATCCTTGTTGGATGATCGATGATCTGTGTATTGGATGCTATTACTCGTAATTATGGAAACTAGAACAACGAAAAGAAAATCCGAACAGATCGTCGATGGTAGTTCACTCTTGCACCAAATATTTCAGGTGAATTCGATGTTTTGGAGTTCGATCTCTACTCATAAAAATGTTGACTGCAAAACTTACCTGGTTAAGCATCCTAAATATGATCAATAAAGCAACGAGACATAGTGATCAAGGCGATCACTGTTAATCGCATAAAGCTGGCCAATCGTCGATCCGTACAGTAGATATATGGAAACTGCTTAGTTCTTGATGATAAAGAGAGAAAGAAAAAGATATATAAAGTTGATTGGTGAATGAATATAAGCAGCGATAGTTAATTTATATAGGGATCGATCATCTCGGAATGGTAATTTGCAGGTATGGTTCATGATCAGAAAAAAATTAACGCGTCGTGATCTTGTTCAGTCGATCGAAATAATATAACCAAGGGGAAATAAAAAAATGATGAAAAGACGGATTTTTTTGTGACAAGTAGGTTTTCATTTCCACCAAAATCTGCATGGAGGGACTAAACAGGAACGCAATAAGGTACATGAAAACCAGAGAGGCTTCATAAAATCAATTAAAGAGAAATAATGAACAGTCTGTTATTTGAGTTATTACCTCAGCACTGGCCATTTTGAAAGCAAAAAGGAGAAAAGTGATAACTGAGCAGAAAGAAAAGAGAGTTTGTGAGTGACGTGTGCGTGAAGAAGCAGAGAGAAATCAATTGTGAGTTGTGTTGTGTGAGCGGAGATGATCAGAATGAGAGGTATATATAGAGGCATTTAGGACTGGGAGTGAAGAATTAATATAATTCAGTCACGCCTTTTAGAGAGAGAGAGAGAGAGAGTTGCCACTTGGAAGAATCTTTTTCAAGCAGACACCCCTCATCACTGACGCAAATTGAAAGACATCGGCTTCATGTCCAGTTGTAAAAGTCATCGTAATTGTATAAATATAAATGTATACTCCGAGATCCAAACATGGGCTTACAATACATTCATTCTAATTCCTCCCAACCCCATCACATAAATTAACTAATTTACTATTCTAAAAAAGATATTCTCATCAATTATTCAATAAAATAAAGATATAATTAAAAAATTTATCTACGTAACACCAACCCAATTACTTATAATGTAGACCAATCAAAATTGTTAAAAAATAATTTATATTGTGGTTTGAAAGAAGTATTTTTTAACTTAAAATTGTACTAATACAACTGTTTTTTTAACCCTAAAAATGATTCAAGATAAACGTGGATTAAAGCTTAAAACTACTTGATCAATACCAATTTACTAATCTAAAATATGTACTAATTAACCGCACTACCTACAATAAACAATTCAATTAATGATCTTTAAAGTTAAACTTGATGCAGCAAAGATCATATAAAAAAAGATTATATTACTCTCCCATCCTAGACTATAAGACATTTTTTAATAAAATTATGCACACAAATAAAGTTCATTAAATACCACACACTCTTTACAGCCTTTGTTTCAAAAAAAAAAACACACACACACACACATATAAACTTCTAAAGGCACACTTAATTTAATATGATAATTTTGTTTGTGAAATATATATAAAAAGAGAAAATATAACGCGAAGCGAAGGTTAATATTGGGACAAATATAATTATTAAAATATTATTTTTATTAAAGTGTTTTATATGTTAAAACACTATATTATCTTTAAAAATTTTTATAAATTACGATGAAGAGAGCGTACTAGAAGAGGATGGGAAAGAAAAGAGAGGCAATCAGTGGAGAGGGAGATGATGAAATGAGTGAGATCTTTCATGGGGGGCTGGGGATGACAGTGTAGTCACAACATGGGACGTAATGTGATTGATCATGATGGAACCATGTTCTTGGATTTTGGCTAGCCATACTTCTCTAGTTGAGTCGACCAGCAAAGTTAGCCAGCTAGACAACCCCAAATGTCAATTGGATCTATGTTTATGTAATTATGCATGCTTTGAACACTCAAATCTCTACCTGATCGATTTCTTTGTTCACACACACACCAACCTAATCTAGCGAGCAAAATTATAGGGTTAAGACAAAAAAAGGTTACGAGGGTGAAAAATGATGGTGCTTTTCACTGTGGAGGAGTGATGGTGTTGGCTATTTTTAACGCTGGCGAGGGAGTGGGTTTTGAAAATGGAGAGAGAAAGGCGACAAGGAAGGGCCCCACTTGGCCGGTGGGGGTGGGCACCGTAGTGCGATCATTACCGTTCAACAGGGACTGTGGGGCCCACCAAAAGGAAATAAAAGAGAGCACCGCCCCCTCAAAAACATTCACATGGCCCCACATGCACATGCTTTCCACGTCTGATTCTCGTGACACCGGACCCTCTGATCTGCCACGTCAGATCGTATCAGCATGCCCAAGATTCCTTTTTTGACTCCTTTGCCTTCATCTGTTCTAGGATTCACCATCGCCAAACTCTATATGTTTATGTATCCGTTAATTTTTTTTTTATCAAAGAAATGTATCTATGAAATTTCTTATTGCACTTCCAATTCGTTTCATGATACTAATTAGTATTTTTGGGATAATGTCAATTGGATTTAATAAGTCATATTGGTCTCTAATTAATTTGGATTCAATCAGCTCAAGCTATACGTGTGTATATATGTAAAGCTCTCATAATAGTAAATTTTAAATTTTTTTTTGCACACAAAATTTCAATTTAAAACCACTTAAGAAAAATAATAATCCAATTACTTCAGCTAATTGCAGTGTTGGTATGATTTGGAATATTTAACTTGTATTGGAATGTGTATTTGTTGTGTTGTGGCGTGGTTTTGGTTTTCCATTTTAATTTTCAAACAAGCAAGCTAAGTCGCATTAAATTAAATAATTTTGTTAATATGCCTTTTCGTACAATTTATCAAGAGATCTCCATAATTTTATAGTTCATTTTTTAATTAAAAAAGCTTAAATAGGTTAGATGATCACAAGAATTAATCAGGATTATCTCATGTTCCAAGATTCAAAGAACACCTAAAAAATATCAAAATAAGATATCCTTCCATGATTATACTTAATATAATTAAGGGCACAAATAGGTCAAGCCATACCAAACTTTCATCAAACAGGTCTGAGCTTATATGCAGGATTTTTTTTTTTTCCTAAATTCAACTCTAAGCCTGCAATGAGCCTGACCTAATTTTAAGCTTTTTAAATGCTTAATTCATATGTAAGCCTTTAAAGACATTTTTGAATTTAAGTCTTAAAGTCTTTAAATAGGCTTCAAGCTTATCAAATATCAAATTTTAAATAGATTTAAAAGCTTGAAACATATTTAAAAATAATAATATATAAATTTAACTGTAATATAATGTATAAAATAAATAAATAAACCTAAGCAAGTAACAAGCATACATGTCAAACTTTAAAAATTCAAGCATGAGTTGTCTAGGTAAAGAGGCCTCTAAATAGCTTTAAACTTGGGCTCCTTATAAAGAAGTTTAGCCAGACTATAGGTCGCTTGGTCGAGGATTGACCTTCTCCCATCCATAAATACAATTACTATTAATAACAAATGCTTGATAGGTTAATTTGAATTTTACATATTCATATATGAAGATTTGGACTCATAATATGTTTAACTATTCTAATTAAAGAAGACTGTATTATTATTTATGCCAAAATCCATTGGTTGAATCAAGGGCCAATCTTTTATCATCTTCAAGCATGTAACGATCTCTATTATTGTTCAGCGAGCAAGGGCACGAAATTAGAGGTGGATCTGAATTCTGAAAGATAAAGAAGATCATGTAATAATAATAACATGGATCCAAGATTGGACGTACGGGAAGGTGGTGTTGGTGCTGTGTCTTGGTTCTTGCATGTCACAAATGAAACAGACTCCATATTTCTCCATCAATTCCTTTCGCTCTTCTATCTTCTTTCTTCCTTTCAGTGAGTTTTCCACTTTCACTAACTATAATTTGATGAGTTTCGTCTCACTTTTGATCTCTAATTAATCCCAATTGCTTTATTTTGTTTTCATCAAATAGGATGGCCTTAATTAAGACTTCAAGAGCCATGTGTGTGGTTCTATTTTTGGCCAAAGTACATCTGTAAAGCGTCTTTGTCCTTGTGGCAAAAGTTAGGACGGTGCCTCCACTACTACTCTTAAATATATTACTCCTCCTTTTGATTAATTAGGTTTAGTTTGGTATCCTTTTATTTTCACTTGCCCCATTCTATCACACTAAATCAAACTAACCAGTACTCAAATAATAATGTCTTTTTTGGAAGACTTACATACAGGGTTGAAATAAAAAATTAATTAATTACCCACATGTCCTAGCTAACAACTTGTATAAATGCAGAAGTTTGATGTACATGTAGTGCTTGATCTTGCTTCGAACACTGTTTTGTAATCATCCCTATCATTTTTAAGGTTTTATTATTTTAGTTATTGCGTGGCTTAGAAATTTAAAAAAAAACATCCAAATCAATTCTAAATGATTAGGGTCATAAGAATATTGAGTGCTAATCTTTTAGGATGTGCGTCGAAACCGAATCTATTTTTATTGGAGGAAAATAATTTAATCTATTAATTTGAAAGATCAGATTAAAAGACTCTTTGGGTAAAATGAGAAGAGAATCCTGTTGCCAGGAGGCTAAATTATTACAAGATATAATTACTTTTGAAAGAAAAAAATTAATGTATGTTTCTTAGTCTCAACATAATCAGAAGAAAGATTACAAAAGTGCACGTCTAAAATCATTTTTAATTGCAATGCCAAACAAATAGATTTGAAGCATAATGAATGTGCGTTCCACCATGGTAACAAGTTTGTATCATTTTGCCCAGCACATAGAGTGGCAACTACAGTATTGCACAAAAAGATTATTATTGTTAGTGTAATATAAATTTATTTATATTTGATATTTATGAATGACAAAGTAATATAATTCAAATTAAATTAGGGTTAAAGTGCATACTGGGTATAAATCAACACCAAATAGAATATAACAACCAAAGTTAACGCGATGATATCTGATCACTTAAATGGTTGAAAAATTTTCAAAGAGAACCTCTTGAACTAACTTAATTTCAATCAAAACTCATAAAATTATGAAATTTCACAAAGAGAACCTATTAATGTAGGGAACTGAAATAAAATTAAAGAGTCGATTAAAATGATCTGATCATCCCTTATAAAGCTAGGTGCACTCATGTAAGAAAAATAACAATTAATATATAAAAAATAAACAATTAACATAGGTGAAATTTATAATTTTTATTAATAACTTAATATCATTATGAATATAAATAAATAAAGTTAGACGCATAAATAATCAATCAGCTTTTTTATTTTATTTCAATTCATATATATCTATAATAAAATTTTAAAATTTTAAGAGTTTTGATTGAATTTAAATCGGGTCAAGAGCTCATTACTGACATTTTCTCTATTCGTATGGTGATGTAATATGGTCTAAAGAAATGAAGGTCAAGGGTGTGCTGTCTGAGTTTTCACAAAGCACGTGATTGTAGGTTGATGAAGTGGATCAATAATTTGGCAGCCCATGTGGGACCCTTGAATTGTGGGCTTGGGCGGAGATTCTTGGGATTCATTGATGTACGTGTAGTGTGTGTTGTATTTAATGGGGGGCCCTGAACAGTGAATTCTTCATTTGATTGAGAAAAATAAAGGCAAAGCAAAAGAATTGACGTTGGTTAGACCGAAAACACGTAAGATTAGGGTGGCCTGTCACGTCTCCATCGTGGCAACACTCGCATGCCACCTCACCTTTTCTTAATTTCTGCCCCCATCCTTCCTCTCTACTTGCACCATCTCCCACTAATCAAAACAATCACGTATCGTAGAAGGCTTTTGACCTTAAACAAGATTAGATTTTAATTTTTTTATATGATTTTTTGTGACCTTATATTAAAAAAAAAAAAAATCGTATCTCTCCTCGAGTCGGATTAAATGGCATAAGGTTATTCTAATTTAATCCATTATCTCTCCAATTTCAAATCGATTTGGGTTTCACTAGATCCCTTTGACTTGATGTGAGGCAAGTCTAAGACTCAGATATAGCGTGCTACGTTATGGTAATAAAAAACAACAGCCAAATCTCTCTCTCTCTCTCTCTCTCTGCGCGCCTATTGAAGATTGATTATATACCTCATGTTTTGACTTTTGACAAAAGACATAAGCTTGAAATTTATTGTTGATACTTGATACAAAAGCCTCGTTAATAGATGATCTATATGAAGAATTTCAAGTGTCTTTCAGGTCTTACAATCTACCTTGAATCTAATAAATCCTTCAGACTAAACTAATCTTTTTTTTTTCAAAACTGTTCAATATTAAGAAAGTTTTAATTGAATTACATTTTCAATGAATTAATTAATCATCTTTAAAATTATAAACCTTTTTTATGATTTATCTTTATTTAATAGGGTGTCTCAATTAAAATTTTTTATTAATTACACTCCTAATTAAGGGCATTTTTTTTGGAAAAATCTCATTAATTGCATTTTAAAAGATTTAAAATGCCTTATATTTTTAAACATTTGATATTAGGAAAAATTCCCTATAGTTTTGAATCAAGGGACTATTTCACTACTTTAAAAGTAAATTTAAAATTTTCAAGCAAAGTGAAATATGTTCATATTTTCTTAAAAATATTTAAATCTAGACTGGAGGAGCTTGCATTTAACCCCCATCTTGAAAGAAATTACTCTCTTCATTAAAAAATGTAAAGTATTTTTAATAGAATCTTACCCCCAAATAAAATAATTACTTACTTTTAAACTAATCCTATTTTTTCATATTTACTCTTATTAAACACCTCACAATAAATATAAAGTCATTATCAATAGGGGTACTTTTGAAAAAAAGGCAATAATCACATCTCAAAAAAATAAAAATATCTTATATTTTTTAACATCCAACTTTTTAAAAAATATCTTATATTTTTGAATAAAAAGAATAGTTTATAATATCAAATGTGTGTATGTATATATATAAAAGTCCGTTGCATCAGTTTAAAAAAAAAAAAAAAAAACAGAGAGAAGGATGTGAAGGGAATTATAATTATGAAGGGACTGTTGAGTTGGGGAAAGCTAGAATTGAATTTGAAGCTTAAAACGGGGAGCGAAGGTTCTGGAACTTTGGTTTTGTGATTGCGAGACATGCCTTTCCTTCCCCTTTCTTCTTCCATCTTTTTGGAACTTCTCTTTCCATTTCCGCCGCCCTCATTGCCCCTCTTTTCTTGTTTGTGCCCAAATTTGGCAACATTGTGGGCCCCTATTAGGGCCTGGGACCCTCCGCCTCCCTCACATTCCCTAGCTTCTATTGCCTAGTTTCTATGTTTTACTATTTGGATGGCTAAATATCATATATCCCTTGGCTAAAATTATGATTCATATCTTTATCTCTCTGAATATGAGAGTTTTCTCTCCGCAGGTACTATTTGACTCGTGACTTTTCTCTTGATTTTGATGAATTCTTGATACTTCAGTCACCTTATTTTTTGTTTCCGGAAAAAGAATGAATTTGAGTTGTTTGCTTTAAAAAAAGAAAGAAAAGAAAAGGAAAAATCTTTGGTTGTACAACTCTTGAATTGCACAACGGAAATCTCTCTCTCTCTCTCTCTCTCACACACACACACACACACGCAGGTTTTTTCCTTTTGTAAGGTTCTTGGTTATGGATTTAAATTTTCTCAAGTGAATAAATGATCAGGTGCATTTCAGATGAGGGTTGAGATTTGAGAGAAAAGGTAAAATTCATTCAGTACATATCTTTCCTCCTTACATTACTCACTCTACATTTATTCACCTGACTGAATCTGAATTGTTTTGACTACTTCCCAGTTGCTACCTGCCACTGTAAAAGTGGGGTTTTATTGCTATCCATTAGAAGACTGAGTTCTACTTCGTTTCATTCTGGTTTTACACGTTGTGATAAAAAATACAAATTACTTTGACGCAAGTGCGAAGATGAGTTAACAGTAACTTAGCCTATCAAAGAGTCTAGCTCTATGGCATTAACAGTAAAAGGATGAGGCACGACTGAGATGAAGGTTAGTTTGGGTCCTCTGGGACGAAATATTGGAAAGCACTACTTCTGCAGATCAAGAGAATATTTTTCCTTTTATTCTCATGCTTCAAAGAATCAAAATCATACTCGTTAATAGAAAAAATACTCCATTTGATCTATTTACAACTCATTTTTACTAACCTCATTAATACCAATACAACAAAACAAAAGTATAAGAAATAAAATTTAATAAAATTACAAACATAACCCTCAAAAAATAAAAACTATGTAATATTATGTTTTTTTTCTCTTTGTTTTACTTTTTAAAGATAATTTAAACATTTCATTTAAAATAAAATATTACTATTAATTAAATAATTTATAAAGTGAATCATTTTTTTTTTTTTTTAAAGATGACCAATAAATTGACTTAGCTTGCTAGCTTAGTTGATTCCCCTAACAACCTATTCTAGAGCTTCTAATTCCAGCATTTGGGCTATCCAAGAATCATATATCAGACAAAACTTTTCAATCAATCAAGGAAACAGACGAAAGTTACAAAGAGTGCAGGATCTGACATTTCATGAGAAACTTGTTTCTCGTGACCAACCTAAAATTAGAAAGCAATAATAAAGTTTCTGCTATCGTTTCTACAGAGATTGTGAACTTGTTCTCCGATAAATATTTATAAACATCAACTTTCAGCTTAGAAATAAAATCTAAGATCTCAACTCGATCAGCTATAAAGCTTCTAATTTCAGCATTTGGGCTATCCAGGAATCATATATCAGACAAAACTTTTCAATCAATCTAGGAAACAGACGAAAGTTACAAAAAAGTGCAGGGTCTCGCATTTCATGGGAAACTAGTTTCTCGTGACCAACCTAAAATTAGAAAGCAATAATAAAATTTCTGCTCTTTCTACAAAGATTGTGAACTTGTTTTCGGATAAATATTTATAAATATCATCAACTTTCAGCTTAGAAATAAAATCTACGATCTCAACTTGATCAGTTATATTTCACAGGCCGACAGCAATAGTTGAAGCCCAATCACACACTTTGCTGCTGTATTTGGGCTGATCACAGAGCAAATCATTAAACTGCCCGTGTCATGAGCTGTTCAGCTGACCAGTTTCTTCAGTACAGTTTCCGCACGCTGCTCAAAATTGGGTAAAGCCCAATCATGCTGGGTTATGTCAAGATTGTCTTTCTCAGCACTGAGACCCTGAAAAGTCAAAATGAACATAATCGTATGATCCCCCTGATCCAATTATTTTATAAAATACAGCAGCAAACGCTAAATATTGCACCTTTGAAGGATCAAAACCAAACCCACCCATTTGCATCATACGTTGCGTATCATCTACAGCTGTAACCAGAACATCATATAACCTCTGATAAGTGTTTATCCAAATCCCGAACTTTATAAAAAGCAATAGCAAAATGCTTAATATAAAAGAGAGAGAGAGAGTGTGTGTGTGTGTGTGTGTGTGTTCGTGTTTACAACAGCTTTGAAGTCATCACAAACCATTTTCTTCCCCCAAGATGAGACTAAAGAACCCCCTTAGCCCAAACAGATTCAGGAAGTACCTGAAACGCCAAAAAATGATAATTAAACAAGGCGAGAGGGGAACAGCAATAGATTCATGGAGGAAAAATAAATTTCATAAAAATGAGGATTACCAGGATCGACTACTGACATAACTAACATCCACTGTACTTAAGTCAATCCCATTCTGCAACATCCACCTTTTCTTAATTTCTGCCCCCATCCTTCCTCTCTACTTGCACCATCTCCCACTAATCAAAACAATCACGTATCGTAGAAGGCTTTTGACCTTAAACAAGATTAGATTTTAATTTTTTTATATGATTTTTTGTGACCTTATATTAAAAAAAAAAAGAATCATGTATCTCTCCTCGAGTCGGATTAAATGGCATAAGGTTATTCTAATTTAATCCATTATCTCTCCAATTTCAAATCGATTTGGGTTTCACTAGATCCCTTTGACTTGATGTGAGGCAAGTCTAAGACTCAGATATAGCGTGCTACGTTATGGTAATAAAAAACAACAGCCAAATCTCTCTCTCTCTCTCTCTCTCTGCGCGCCTATTGAAGATTGATTATATACCTCATGTTTTGACTTTTGACAAAAGACATAAGCTTGAAATTTATTGTTGATACTTGATACAAAAGCCTCGTTAATAGATGATCTATATGAAGAATTTCAAGTGTCTTTCAGGTCTTACAATCTACCTTGAATCTAATAAATCCTTCAGACTAAACTAATCTTTTTTTTTTCAAAACTGTTCAATATTAAGAAAGTTTTAATTGAATTACATTTTCAATGAATTAATTAATCATCTTTAAAATTATAAACCTTTTTTATGATTTATCTTTATTTAATAGGGTGTCTCAATTAAAATTTTTTATTAATTACACTCCTAATTAAGGGCATTTTTTTTGGAAAAATCTCATTAATTGCATTTTAAAAGATTTAAAATGCCTTATATTTTTAAACATTTGATATTAGGAAAAATTCCCTATAGTTTTGAATCAAGGGACTATTTCACTACTTTAAAAGTAAATTTAAAATTTTCAAGCAAAGTGAAATATGTTCATATTTTCTTAAAAATATTTAAATCTAGACTGGAGGAGCTTGCATTTAACCCCCATCTTGAAAGAAATTACTCTCTTCATTAAAAAATGTAAAGTATTTTTAATAGAATCTTACCCCCAAATAAAATAATTACTTACTTTTAAACTAATCCTATTTTTTCATATTTACTCTTATTAAACACCTCACAATAAATATAAAGTCATTATCAATAGGGGTACTTTTGAAAAAAAGGCAATAATCACATCTCAAAAAAATAAAAATATCTTATATTTTTTAACATCCAACTTTTTAAAAAATATCTTATATTTTTGAATAAAAAGAATAGTTTATAATATCAAATGTGTGTATGTATATATATAAAAGTCCGTTGCATCAGTTTAAAACAAAAAAAAAAAACAGAGAGAAGGATGTGAAGGGAATTATAATTATGAAGGGACTGTTGAGTTGGGGAAAGCTAGAATTGAATTTGAAGCTTAAAACGGGGAGCGAAGGTTCTGGAACTTTGGTTTTGTGATTGCGAGACATGCCTTTCCTTCCCCTTTCTTCTTCCATCTTTTTGGAACTTCTCTTTCCATTTCCGCCGCCCTCATTGCCCCTCTTTTCTTGTTTGTGCCCAAATTTGGCAACATTGTGGGCCCCTATTAGGGCCTGGGACCCTCCGCCTCCCTCACATTCCCTAGCTTCTATTGCCTAGTTTCTATGTTTTACTATTTGGATGGCTAAATATCATATATCCCTTGGCTAAAATTATGATTCATATCTTTATCTCTCTGAATATGAGAGTTTTCTCTCCGCAGGTACTATTTGACTCGTGACTTTTCTCTTGATTTTGATGAATTCTTGATACTTCAGTCACCTTATTTTTTGTTTCCGGAAAAAGAATGAATTTGAGTTGTTTGCTTTAAAAAAAGAAAGAAAAGAAAAGGAAAAATCTTTGGTTGTACAACTCTTGAATTGCACAACGGAAATCTCTCTCTCTCTCTCTCTCTCACACACACACACACACACGCAGGTTTTTTCCTTTTGTAAGGTTCTTGGTTATGGATTTAAATTTTCTCAAGTGAATAAATGATCAGGTGCATTTCAGATGAGGGTTGAGATTTGAGAGAAAAGGTAAAATTCATTCAGTACATATCTTTCCTCCTTACATTACTCACTCTACATTTATTCACCTGACTGAATCTGAATTGTTTTGACTACTTCCCAGTTGCTACCTGCCACTGTAAAAGTGGGGTTTTATTGCTATCCATTAGAAGACTGAGTTCTACTTCGTTTCATTCTGGTTTTACACGTTGTGATAAAAAATACAAATTACTTTGACGCAAGTGCGAAGATGAGTTAACAGTAACTTAGCCTATCAAAGAGTCTAGCTCTATGGCATTAACAGTAAAAGGATGAGGCACGACTGAGATGAAGGTTAGTTTGGGTCCTCTGGGACGAAATATTGGAAAGCACTACTTCTGCAGATCAAGAGAATATTTTTCCTTTTATTCTCATGCTTCAAAGAATCAAAATCATACTCGTTAATAGAAAAAATACTCCATTTGATCTATTTACAACTCATTTTTACTAACCTCATTAATACCAATACAACAAAACAAAAGTATAAGAAATAAAATTTAATAAAATTACAAACATAACCCTCAAAAAATAAAAACTATGTAATATTATGTTTTTTTTCTCTTTGTTTTACTTTTTAAAGATAATTTAAACATTTCATTTAAAATAAAATATTACTATTAATTAAATAATTTATAAAGTGAATCATTTTTTTTTTTTTTTAAAGATGACCAATAAATTGACTTAGCTTGCTAGCTTAGTTGATTCCCCTAACAACCTATTCTAGAGCTTCTAATTCCAGCATTTGGGCTATCCAAGAATCATATATCAGACAAAACTTTTCAATCAATCAAGGAAACAGACGAAAGTTACAAAGAGTGCAGGATCTGACATTTCATGAGAAACTTGTTTCTCGTGACCAACCTAAAATTAGAAAGCAATAATAAAGTTTCTGCTATCGTTTCTACAGAGATTGTGAACTTGTTCTCCGATAAATATTTATAAACATCAACTTTCAGCTTAGAAATAAAATCTAAGATCTCAACTCGATCAGCTATAAAGCTTCTAATTTCAGCATTTGGGCTATCCAGGAATCATATATCAGACAAAACTTTTCAATCAATCTAGGAAACAGACGAAAGTTACAAAAAAGTGCAGGGTCTCGCATTTCATGGGAAACTAGTTTCTCGTGACCAACCTAAAATTAGAAAGCAATAATAAAATTTCTGCTCTTTCTACAAAGATTGTGAACTTGTTTTCGGATAAATATTTATAAATATCATCAACTTTCAGCTTAGAAATAAAATCTACGATCTCAACTTGATCAGTTATATTTCACAGGCCGACAGCAATAGTTGAAGCCCAATCACACACTTTGCTGCTGTATTTGGGCTGATCACAGAGCAAATCATTAAACTGCCCGTGTCATGAGCTGTTCAGCTGACCAGTTTCTTCAGTACAGTTTCCGCACGCTGCTCAAAATTGGGTAAAGCCCAATCATGCTGGGTTATGTCAAGATTGTCTTTCTCAGCACTGAGACCCTGAAAAGTCAAAATGAACATAATCGTATGATCCCCCTGATCCAATTATTTTATAAAATACAGCAGCAAACGCTAAATATTGCACCTTTGAAGGATCAAAACCAAACCCACCCATTTGCATCATACGTTGCGTATCATCTACAGCTGTAACCAGAACATCATATAACCTCTGATAAGTGTTTATCCAAATCCCGAACTTTATAAAAAGCAATAGCAAAATGCTTAATATAAAAGAGAGAGAGAGAGTGTGTGTGTGTGTGTGTGTGTTCGTGTTTACAACAGCTTTGAAGTCATCACAAACCATTTTCTTCCCCCAAGATGAGACTAAAGAACCCCCTTAGCCCAAACAGATTCAGGAAGTACCTGAAACGCCAAAAAATGATAATTAAACAAGGCGAGAGGGGAACAGCAATAGATTCATGGAGGAAAAATAAATTTCATAAAAATGAGGATTACCAGGATCGACTACTGACATAACTAACATCCACTGTACTTAAGTCAATCCCATTCTGCAACATTGACCTAAACCTCTGAGTCAATGGGAAGGGTATCTTGGCTGCAGGAAATAAATTGATTCGTTCAATTACTTATAGAGTGATAACACTACTGGGACATGTGAACATTAACAGAGGTAAGCATTAAAATTAGGAAATGCAGAAAAAACGGCCAGGCTTAGGATATGGTACAACAAGATGTCAGAAAAAGTAAAATATCTGTGCCTCACTGTACAATCTAAAACAGTACAGACCAGCTCTATAATTAACAGAATAAATTAGCTTCCTAGCATCCCGGATATATAATGTCATGAAAAATATGAGCTCATAATGCATAAATCAAGAAACCATAACAATCAATCCAGGAGCAAAGGGAATTTACTAAGAATACCTGCTACAAATCCAGAAAAGAAAAAGTTCACCCAAGCGAAAGTAAGAGTCTGTAAAACAAAAGGAAAGCATGTCATCAAATAACAATTAAAAGTGAGTATGATCTAAGATTCTACACCAAAGTAAGCTGAAGGTATAGATTTCAATACCTGAGGTATGATCATTGAAAGATTTTTCTTCATCATATCCATAGCCATATTGGGATCAGAGAACATCTGTGCTTGTGGATTCTGGGCTTGACCCTTGGGTACAAACAAGAGACCATTTTCCTTCATCAAAGATAAGCACAATCTTAATTCACCTTTTAAATCGATTGTGTTATTACAGACTTTACAAAACTCATAATAGACTTTGTTAACTTCTCATAAGCTCTCGTGGGACAAAAAATGAAAATTGAAATTTTTTCCACAACTGAGCGTAAAATTCAGCCAAAGCCAGGTTTGAATACAAGTACATAAGCCCAAGACAAGAAACCTCACAAGAGTGTCAGGCAACAATTGAATTAACCCAAAATCCTGAATAAGGAAACACTAACAAAATTTTCTAGGAAAGAAAATACAGGATAGACAAACAAACCTCATTGCAGAAATAAATTTTGCGCGCCCGAAAAGCCTTTGAAGGTATAAAATTAGCAGCAGCACGTAAATTCCGAGCTCTAAGAATGACTTGTCTGGATTATCATCAGCAAAAAAACCAGCCTCATCAATCTCAGAAAATCCCTGTGGATATAATGAACGATTGGATAAGGAATTAGAAATACCCTTCTTTCACCATTTTAGCATCTGGGGTTTGAGAAGAGCGCATAAGCTTTGCAACAAAATAGCGGAGAACACCAATGAGGACCATGACCACAGAGAGAGGGATCAGTACCCAATCTCTGATAGCAGTGTCCAGCACAAGATCTTCTGCCATAGTCCTAGCGCCTGCAAGCAAATATACATGTGATACACCAAGACAGATATGAGCAGCTTATGGCTCCATGCAGGAACAAAATACAGTAATTAATTTCATGAAATTTGGAAAGCAATATTCACAAGTTAGCAAATCATTTTTCCCCCTCAGAATAATTTGAAGAAATCCTCGAATTGCTGTTTTCTCAAGCTTGGCTGTAAAGGGTAAAAGCCAAGAAAATACCCTTCAGCACTCTGCAGCACCAATTTACAATGAAGGATCCACCTCATCAAGGGGCACAAGATAGATATTTAATCTCAAAATAACTAATAAATTCTAAATTCAGAATTCAATGCAGTCACAAAAATCTAAACTTGAATTTCTCAACTAAGGGTAATCACACACTAAATTATACAAAATCCAAGAATCCAACATCTCTGAACCAAATGCGTTCTAATACTAAGTATCTGTAAAAGTAGTGGGAACAAAAAACTCAACATAATAAGAACTTCGAGCTCTGAACCAAAACTATAGAGCATGGATCACACATCCAAAACCCAGCAAAATGCCATTCAAATGATCAATTTTGATAGAATACATACATTGATTACAATGCAAACCAAATAAATCTATTATCTTCTCAGTAAATCAGTATCACGAAAGGAATCATCAAAAATTGGAACAATTAGCTAGGCATCAAAAGAGCCACATGCCCACACGGTAGACAGAATGCGCAGGGATGGCAACAAGGGATCCAAGCTAGCAATAAACCCTCAATAATTTGAGAGTATTTCTGTGTATCCATCCAACACAACAAAATTTAAAGCTATTGACATTATCACAACCACCTAAAATCATTTACCGAAAAGATCATCCTGGCGACCTTAAACCTTCAAATTGCTCTGTCCCTGTCCTATTGAAAATAACAAAAAATATTAAACAGTAGTAGCAAAAGTAGATAATTTCTGCTGAAGAAAAACTCTAGTACCTCCCTTAACTGCCCTTTTTCCATTCTCAGGAATCATTCTCCCACTCTACCTCATGATACAGATATTCCAAATCTAATCACCATCTCAATTAGATAATGACTATTAGACTAGAGAGCTATCTATCCCTCCCATATCAAGCACACTACGCTGCAATAAGCACCTACGGGAGTCGGGAAGCTTAGGCGGACCAATATTACACTCAGTGGAGGCATCCACCCCCACTGAAATCTTTGAAATATGAATAGTTGATATCATACCCTTTGAATTTTTGTCCCAGATACTTTAACGAAGATGCCCTAATAAGGCAACAAATTCGAGCAAGTCCTCCAAGTCATTGAAGGATGACAATGATAACGCTCAAGCAATTTAGATCTTCCAATTAATTAAAACGACACAACATAAAACAAAGCAAAAAACGGCGCAACGGTGTCCGACGCAGGGTTAACAATGAACAGATGACGCAGGGAACACATCCAAATCTAGATTCAAAGCCAGGTTGAAAAAATCAATAACACTGGATTTTGGGAGAAGACAAAGTTCGTACCTTTTTCGATACTTGACGGAGAACAACCACGAAGGGAAGACAACGGTGAACAGCGACCGAGGCGAGCTCAACCAAGCGCGGAATGCCGAACCAAAACAGAATCTGCTACTCTTAGTCCTACCTGACGAGGGCTTGTTTTATTGGGGTTATAAAATTAATTCATTTTATATGGAATTATATTATTTCTTAATATTTTTAGGTTTTTTTTTTTGGGAGGATGACACATATGGACCATAAAAGAAAACTAATCATTTTAAAGGATCATGAATTTTAAAAATTACAAAAGAAAACTAAGATGCAGGTTCGTTCATATTTTAGTTGTATATAATTAATTATAAAAAATTATTCATATAATTAATTTTAATTATAATTAATTATATTATAACGTGATTTATTTTAATATTATTTTTTTAAAATTAATTTTGATATAATTAAAAATATTTAGATGGTTTTATCAGAATCAATTTTAAATGTGATATTAATAAAAATTCATATGATATTATTAATTTTTCTTTGATTTATTTAATAAATAAAATATATATAATAGTCATATGTTTAAAACTTATATAATTACTTAATGCACATATATATACTGATTATATATTAAAATTTAAATTACATGACGTGATAAGTTAATGCTAGTAATTTAATATAAGTTATTAATATTATAATATAATTGAGAGTAGCGTATATATGGAGAACCAAGCTGATGGGAGGAAGAGGCACAGACGCATTGGACAGAGAGTATTTGACACACCAATGAATGCAACTAAGGCAACAATTGTAATTGATAAACAACTATTTCAGATAGTGTTTGATTGAAGGAAAGAGATTTTATCCCTCCTTTCGTCTGGCTTTAAAATTTAGAGGAATTTTTTCTCCCCTTTCCTTCAAATTGAGGAGATTGGGAGGAAAGGAGTAAAATTTATCACACTCTAACTAATATATCCTTTATGATAAATTTAAAAAAAACAAACATGCTTTTCTAGTATCTAAACACTAATAAAATAAAAGTAAAATTATTCGTATATAATTATTTTTTCTCTCTTCTTTTCTTAAACTAAACAAGGTAACATCAAATCCTTTCCCTCCTCTCGGACCAAACATAACTTTAAAATTTTCACAAAACATGATTAATGGTAATATAATCAATTAAGCAAAAATGAAGGTGTTCGGGTATTTCTTTTTAAAACGCGATTTCTATACATATAATCAATTCTTGTAGCATAACCAAACAGGTGTATATATAGGGGAAAAAAGAGAGAAATTCTTGTATGAACCGATGTACCATGTCATTTGAATATCCAATAAGAATATGTATGATTGTGAATATAAATTAAATTTGCCATTGATTGTGATAAATGCAAAAAAGGTAAGAAATTAAATAGTAATTGTTGCTCACCGCAAGTGCACAGGTCGTAGCAAGTAATATAAAATGAGTAGAGTATCGTTCCCTCGAGGATTTGTTCAAAAACAATGATCAAGCAAAAGACTAAGCAAATTTGATTAAGTTGAGCTACACATAGTTAGGTGAAAATGATTTTGCTTATGAAGCTAATACTATAAAATAAAGAAAAGTGAGTGATTCACAAACTTCCAACACAAATTGAGACCTAGGATTAATTATCCCCTTTGCATTTCATAACACCAAAATTACCTCCTCTCATAAATGCTTTTAATGAAAATAAGTGCTAACCTAGGGTTCTAAAAATACTTGAACAAGCTCTCTCAAGTCATGAACAAGTGTTTAGTTAAATTAATTGCCCAATCTCTTGTTACAATTAATAAAACTCAATTTTAAACACCAACCCTAATGTGGCTATGCAAGGCTAGCAAGTATATCTCTATCTTACTAGCAAAACCATCTATTCAACATGCAAATATCAAGTTCTTACACAATTTTACCCAAGTTCTACACTCAACCTAGCCCTCTCAAGCATCAATTAAGTGAACCCAACATCTAAATGGTGGCCAATCAAGTAGAAGCATTAAGGAAAGAGTAAAATAAACACATATATATCATTAATCACAAAAAGAGAGGAGAAATAAAGTGTTAATCCATACAAGGGTTCCAAATAATCCTAGAACAAAGGGTTTAGCTACTCATAATCATCCACAAGCTACAAATATACAAAATAAGTTGACCTATTTCAGATTACAAGAGAGGAAAGGGAAGAGGAATAGAAAAATCAAAGAAAATGAGCTCCAAATGTCTTCAAAGCTTCTATCTCTTGATCCCAACTCTTCCAATGCCCAAACCCTAGCACAACCAAGCTCTAAAAGTGTCTAAAAGTTTGAAGAATGCGTTCTAGGTCGAGCTCTCATCTTATATGTATCCTAGCCAACTAATTTCTGATAAATGAAACGCAACGTTTTTTTGACAGCGGCGAAAGTCGCGAATGAAAGTCACGACTTTGAGATGACTTTGACAGTTTTGCACTGTTTTTACAGCTAACGAAAATCATTCATTTTGCTCTTGATTTCTTCATCCAAAAACCTTCCAAAAACATCCACAAAGCTCCAAAAATGCTTCTTATCAAAACTTCAATCAAAATAACATGAAATTAGGCTAAAAATATCAAATTAAAGCTAAGAACACAAGCCGAAAACAAAATGCACATTTTCCTAATTTGGGCAATAAAAACATATACAATTAAATCAAAATGGACTAGAATCTAAGAAAAATGTGATGAAATAACATGAACTTCTAGAGGTTAACAGTAATTATCTTTAAAAATAAAAGAGAAAACATAACTTTAGATCTCTGTACTTTTTTTATGTTCTATATCCCTACACTTTTGTTTTTCATTATTTTAGATCTTCATACACACACATATTTCAATTATACCCTTATTCTATTAAGTAATTAATATAAGTGTTTTGAATAAGTTAAATGTTATATTTATTACATTCAAGAATACAATTGGAAATATGTAAAAAAAAAATTAAAATCAAAATTTTAACAAATCTTCATTTAAAAACATAAATCAGTTAACAATGACTTATATTATAATCTGAAAAGAGTATGCAAAAATAATAAAAATTTATATTACCAAAAAATAATATTTTAAATTTAATATGTTTTTTTGGCCAAAATTAAATTTGATATGTTAAGAACTTAAAATCTATTAGACTTAAATGAAATATCAAAAGTTTACTTCTTTTTTTTTAATTCAAATATATATGTTTTATTTTATGTCTAGGAGTTCACAATTATTGAAATGGTGGGTGCAAATTTTTGAAAATTACAACGTATACTAGTAAATTGCTCCAAATTGGGTGGGAATCGGATAGTTGTCCACCCTCAACTCTATCTAGATCCGCCCATTAAGTTTGATCTCATTTATAATTTCATGCCGTGAATGCCTGCCACCCTAAATAGAGGGCGAGAGCCTAAGATTGAATGCAGAAGTCTACGTCCAGTTCGTCTACATCCAACACTACTTAATTTCTTTCACATATTAGCTCTCATGATCTTCCTCCCCAGTCCGGTAGTTACTACATGAAACAGGAAAGGAAATACCACAGGACGCAATTGTGTAATTGTAAAGTATTCTTATACGACTTGATCTCAAAATTAAACATTCCTAGCTTTGAGGTCAATCAATGGATTTATTTTTCTCCACAGGATCATATATGCAGCTTTCTCTTTAGGATTATATTCCCATCTTCAATGGCTTCCTCACCTTTCATTTCCCACCTCAAGTTGTATAAAGTAGCCACCTTTTCTCAACGCTTCTTCTATCTCAACTGCAACCCAAAGCTACGATCAACATCAACAAACCTCCATCTTTCTGCATATCGCAACAATTCTTCTCCATCTTCATCTTCTTCTTCTTCATCATGTCGATTCTCAGCTTACAGAGATTCGTATTATTGTTATTATTATTATTTCCAGAGGCAAACTGGCATATCCCTCATTGCCTTTGACGCTAAGAACCCAGAATCCAGAAGAGAAGAAGATAATACTCATAATATTAATGAAGCCATTGATCCTCTCTTCAAGTTCTTTTCTGCAATCACTCACAGATTCATCACATACACGAAATCTGATATTCTCGCACATCAATGGCCATTCCCATCATTTTTCCTTTCCTTCTTGCATGCCTTCCAACGAAGAAAGGTATATTATATTGCTGGATGATTAATTAAACTCGTAAGAATTGATTTATTTGATTAATTGTATGATTTGATGGGAGTGTAATGTATTGTCGCAGCAAGCGTGGACAGTTTTCTCGTTTCTGATTCAAATGTTTGGAAACAATGTTGAATTTGTTTTCAATGAGACTTTGCATGGCCTCAACATTGGCGTGCAGTGGAAATTTGGTACTTAATTATTCCTCGCTTCTCCCATTCTTTAAAAACATCACATTTCTGTGGTGTTTCATTGATAAATAGCTTCGGTTGAACTTGTCTTTTCAATTTTTTTTATTGAATCACTAATTATTAGTCATTAAAATGAGCATAATGCTGCCAACATTGTTCTTTTATTATATCTGATCTAAGGAAACTTCTTGTCCCTCAAATTTATTTCATTTATCGATTTGGTTTTTAAAGTTTAATCCCCATTAATCCATTCCTTAAAGGTTTCATAATCATTTTTCCTTTAAATAAAAAGGATCGGACTAATTATATATAGTTATGAAATCTTAGGGACTAAATTCAAAGAGATTAAATTTTTAGGACAAAATGGATAACTGAAGTAAATTTGAATGACAAAAAATGTAAAGGTTTCATTATCCCATTTTATTTTCACTCAACTCATTAGATTAGGTTACTTATAATTGGAAAAAAAAATGGGTTACTTATATTGAGACTTTGTTGGGAGAATGATGAATGATGCGTTGGTGTAGAATTGGAAAAAATTCAAATTCCCCTGGGCAAGGGCTTCAGCTTCTATATAAGTCACAGCTACAGGGGAAAAGCCATGATCAGGTGCTTTCTCGTTTTGTTTCTTCCCATGTCTCTGTCTCTATATTAATATTTACAATTTAAATTATAACTTGTTGATAAAAAAAATTATAACGTTGTCTGCAGAGCAATTAACTTATAATTATTATTAACATCTAAGCTGTCCACATTGATTTCACAAAAAGATATGACATAGTTTATGTGGAATAATCAAACATATTGTATAATTGAGATCAGATCATCTGTATATATATTCTAAAATGAGCAACAACCACACATAGACCTAAACTGTATGTACCAAATTTGCATAGTTTACATTCAAAATAAAAAGGTAAATCTGAAGAAATCTCGGCCATCTAAAATTATTATTTGTCATAAAATAAAATAAAATAAAATAGAAAACTAGCTAGATAAAACAATGTTTTGTCATGTAAAAATTTTTATGATTGAAAAAAAATAATAAATGGACAGTTATTATCCAATGAAGTTGATAAAGATATAATAAATCTTTTATACATACATCTATATATAATGTTAATAAAAGATATTTTTGCGCTTTAACTATCTGTTCAAAAACATATGATATCTTAATATAGTACAATTTTTCCCTTCAACTTTTGAGAATGATGCATTGAGTACTTTGTCATTAAAAACATTAATTTTTACTACTACTTGACCTTAAAATTATAGGAAAGAACATCAAAAATTACAAAACAAAACAATTACAAGATTACACATAAGTATCTTGAAAAAAAATGAATATCAAATGAGTCCCTTAAATTTTATATAAATGACATAATACAAATGTTGTTTTTTACTTATATAAAAGGTCAAAATTGTATTTTGACCAATCATTATTTTTGGTACTTAATTAATATTAATTTTTTATGTGATACTTGCTCACAATTTTATGGGCCCTTTTCTATATTTTTTAAGTTATTTTTAATAATTTTTTGTCAACTAATAATTAAAATTAACTTTTTTTGAGCATGATACTCAATCCATTATTTTTAAAAATTGAAATGAAAAATTACACTACATAAAAATTTAAGATACTAGATACTCTTAAGTGAATAGTTGATAGGCAAAAACATTCTTTAACCCTCCTATATATATATATATATATATATATACATACATATCATTATTTATACAGTAGAGGAACTACTTCTTGACTCTGCTGAATTATACATACAGCGTTGGCTATAATGCAAGAGACTATAGCTCCTCAAACTGCGAGGACTTAAGCTTGAATTTGTTTAAATGCATAAAACATCCTTAAAAGAACTGTTATATTATTGGATTTGACAATACTTGAATAACACCTATAGTAACATGTAAAGGGATTCATGTATTTCTTGAGGCGTGGTTTTCTTTTAATGTTAAATGTTCTAATATATCTTTGTAATTATTTTATTTTATGTTATAGTAAATAGTATTTTTTTTTTGAAGACTTAAATATTAAGCTTCATATACTTAATGTTTTTTTTCCAATCAAATTAAAACAAGTAAATTTTAATATATTAATAACAAGAATTTATTATAGAATAAATAATTTAAAAATTATATACATAGTTTAAATTGATTAGAAACAACCACTTTATATATAAAAGGTTAAGTATATAAATTTTTTTATTTTTTATTTTACCACATAGTATGTGGTGTTGGTAACACCTTTTTTCCTTCTGATTCAGGAGCAGTGAAACTTTCATAAAGCCGTTGCTGAACCTGCTACCCTTTAAACTGGTATGTTTGAATATGGTAAAAAGAAAATGCAAACTTTGATTCTTTCAAAAAAAAAAAAGTTTAAACCTAGTCAATCCGATTCAATTCGAACCAACTTGATCTAGTTTGAAGCAATTAAAAAAGAAAAACCAAACATTGAACAAAACTAATTAGACCAGGCCAATTATTCGAGTTAGACCAGACTTTGAACTAACTTTTAAGGCCAGTTAAATTAATCTAACCCGATAATAATTAAATTTATAAATAATTTTTATATGTATTTTGTTTTTTAAAATTATATTTATAAATGCTTTTATATGTTTTGCCTCATTTTTTAACTTTATTGATAGTTTTCTCAGTTCTCCCCCCGCTCTCGGGATCACAATGCTCTTATTCCAATATCCTACGGATCTACCCTGTTCTTCTTCTTCATTTAAATGTCCTTCCTCCTTCTCCAATTTGCGCCTTTGTCCAGTAAGCCTATCCTCTATCCTCCCTCCCTTCATGATTCTTCCACGCACCCTCCCTCCTCCCTCTCAGTTTTTGATTTCTCACAAGCAGATCATGGTTCAGGCATCTTCAAAGTACAGATCAGTCATCGTAACTCTTCACTCCACCCATACTCCGCTCTCTCTGCGCCGTTCTTGGCTTTCTCCAATAATGGGTGTTTGGAAAAGGAAATGCTTTCAGTTTAGATCTTGGATCTTTTGTGACTCTTAGGATCTCCTCCTCCTCCTTCATCGATCATATTTGTTTCTTTTTATTCTAACATATGGCATGCTTTCTTGCTTTGGCTCATTCCATCTCTTTCTTTGGGTTTGGTTTTTGAGAGGCTATCGAGTGCAAGAGTCTGGTAACCCGATATATCAAATCCAACCTGATTTTAGTGTCGAGCTTCTCTAGATAAGATAAGTCTGGAGACAAAAAAATCTAGCCTGGTGGTACTTTAGACGGGACTTTGAGTTGGGGACGAGCTTGATCCAGCCCGGTAAAAAGCACTCTCATATATACAAGAATGTTTAGATGTGGAGTGTTTTTAAAGCTTTTTCAGACGTTTTTGTGATAGTGAACTTTTTTATAATAGTAAACTACCATGTTTTAGATTAAATACAATTTAGAAAGGAATTGTTGTGATGCGAAATGAAGGTTGAAATTTTTGAGAGTGAAACTAAGATTTATTAGATTCACTTTCCCATCTAAATGTGAAGATTTTTGGGACCCGGCCTCTTGCGATGCAGAAAATAATGGCAAGCTTTGAACGCCTACGAGAGAGCATGGATTCGTTCATGGCGCGGGAATCAGAGGACAAGCCCAAACAGATTTGGAGCACTTTGACTGCTTTGTTAACCATAACTGCCTTGTTCTTTCTCTCGAGAACCCCCTCCCTTAAATTAGTCTTAAAATTATCTCGTAAACCTTAGCCACTCATATATTTGATATAAATATTTCAAATCAGATTTCAGTGGTCTCAATTCTATAATTTTTTATTTTTAAAGATATACATAGTTTAATTCTAATTTATATGATATAAAGAAAACCCATGCATCAATGATGATTGATCAAGTAGTTCATTCGGCCAAAAAAAAAAAAACAAAGAGAGGGGGAGAGAGAGAGAGAAGTTAAACCCATTTTTGTCCCTAATATTTTTTTAAATGAGTGTTTAGTATCTTATATTAAAAAAGTACTGTAATATTTTTTTAAACAATTTTTTCAAAAGCAAAATTAACTTTTTATCATATAACCATTATCTTTTTTATTATTTGTTGATGTCAAATGGTCTTGGGTCCCACACATAATGATAGCAACGTATTGTAACTCAAGTTACCACCATTTTATCATTAAAATGAAGCATGGTTTTTGTCATTGTCACTTCTAACCCCTATACACCATGTCAAGTGGTCAAAATGAATCATAATGCCTTGCTAACATAGTGTATGGGTCTTACAATTATTTCATGTTAGTAGATAATGAAAAAGATGAAGGATATCTGATGAAAAGGTAATTTTTCTTTTAAAAAAAATTATTTAAGAATAATATTATCCTACCCTTCAATATAAGATGCCTAGTGTTTTTAAGAAAAAAATAAGGGAAAAATGGTATTTGGATGAAAAAAAAATCAAGCAGTTCAGAAAGAATAATTGTTCTTCAAAAACTTTACGCACACGTGGTCCAAAACACATATTTCTTGTTAAACATATATTTTCTAAATCTAAAATCCAAAAATTTGCCAAACATGATTAGACAAAATGTATTCTAATGAAAGCTATCAAATTCAATGAAAGAGATTAGTCTTTCACAAATTACAATGTAATGAATTAAATTTTAAATTCTTACTAAAAGATATACTCACATTTAATATCTCAATTATGTCCCGAATAACATTACATTCAATAAAAAGACACCTGTATAAAACCAAAAAAGTAAATTAATTTTTTAGAATAGTGACAACAAGTAAGTTTCAAAATACTGATTTAATAATATTTAGGTCTCTCGCAAATTTCTTAAAAAAATTAATTTGTAAATATCAATTTAAACAAATGTATATGAAAATCTAAATTGTAAATTAAAAATAACATTTAAAATATAAATTTTTAATTTGTAATTAAAACTTATAAATTGTTGACCATCTGAATTTATATTTTCAATTAATTTTACAGAAAATTTTATCAGAAATTAAACTATAATTAAATTGATATCTGGGAACCTAATGATCATTTTTTTTTTCTTTTTTCTCTTTGGTTCCCAGAACCGTAAATATTGGATTAATTGTTTCTTTTTTTTAAAAAAAAAAAAAAGTGCACCGGGATAGGTCGATGGCCAAAAACGCGGTCAATTTTCTGTTGAACCGCATGGACTGTTTTTCCAAACCCTGAAAGAGAAGCACGGCGGGGGAGTGAGGACTGGGGAGCGAGGGAAAATAATGGCTCAGGTTCTCAACCTAAGCCCACCATTCCCAACTAAAACCAAATCGTTATTTCTTTCTTCAGACACGTCTTGTTCTACCTCTGCACACCAAAGCTGGAGTTCTCTGCAGCACAAACTCCAGTGCAATGGCAGATTCCTCTGCCTGTTCTCCGATAACAAGAGAGAGGTAATCGCACATGTATTGTTGTTTGAGTCATACAAGTGTTGAATTTCGGTATACGATGCCCTACTCACCGGAAATTCCTGCTTGGCGATGTTTGTTAATTGTGATTTTTATTAAAGGACCTTCGTTCTAGATTTGTTCCCCCTTTCTTTGTGGGTTGTTTGGCTGGTGAAATGAAATAAGTATTACGAATTGCTGATCGGTTTGAAAAATGCAGAAATATGCTTTGTTTGGGGTCGAACAATAGCTGTAAATCCTTAAACCTTATCGGTTTCTTTTTGTGCCATTTTTTTTTGGGCCGACAGTTTTTCTTTTTGTTCCATATCATGAATTACTAGATGGAATGATACTCTGCACTATTGCCGTATTGTGACAAAGATGAACCTCTGGGTTTTGTTCTATAGAAGAACATTTTCTCTGAAACACGAATTCCCCTTTCTGTTACCGATCGATTTGTAAATGTTTGAATCCGAAACTGAAGCATGACAAGACTTTTGAACTTCTGATATTAGTGTTTGTGTGTTCGGGATATCAGGATATTAGTGTACAAGGATGTCTTGGGGTCTTGATCCCCAACTGCAGTGTAGTGTTTCATGGGTTTAGGCCCTCCTTTCCGAGCAAATAAAATTATTTGTTTCACTTGTCTACATTCCTTTCTCAACCTATAATTACATAGGGGATGGGTCAAACTGATTTTTGTTTTTCCTGCAAAGGAAGTCTCAAATATAGTCAGACAGACATCTCTTTGGTTTTGTTTGTCCCAAGTATTCAGATAGAATTACTTGAATTGAAAGTTACACACACTCAGCATCCAGTCATGGGCAATTCGGATGAATTAATAGATCCAACGTCCCAATCTGAAAATGTTTTCTTGGAACCAAGATACCTGAAATGCCATACATTTCATTAGTATGCTATGTTACGTGATTTATATGTTCATGGGCTTAACATTGTCTCCATCACCGAGCAGTTTGTATATGGCTATATTATGTGGTAGCAGTACCCTTGCCACTTAATCTCTATAAAACTCGTGAGATTCTCCATCGCTCAGTGTTAGCTCCCCCCCCCCTAAATGCAGTGCTGACTTACAGTTCCTTTTTCGTCAGATCTAACAATGATGATTTTAGTTGATAAGCTAGTTGTGTTCATTTATTAGCTTAATTTGGTGTGGTAGCTTCTTCATCTAATGCCAGTACATATGAAAGCAAAGTTTTCATGTTAAGTATGTAATATTGAATAGTGTTGTCGTGTTTGTGAAGGAGAAACATAATCCCTCACTTTGCACTCAAAGTGTTAGGGCTCTGTCCATATATTTGATGTTTAAACTGAAAAATTTGCTTTTGGTGTACGTGTTGCCATTACTATCCACAGTCCAAATGACGTTTATTTTCTCTAATTGCTAACATATATTGATGGAATTTTTAAAATGGTCTGTGCATTCAATTCCTTTTTAGCATCAAAGCAACACTGAAGGAATGAAATGAAATCAAAATGACTGCTAATTCGTATCAAATAAGCAGAATAATTTGTGCTGGTAACTGGATTGGCAAAAAAACAATGCTAATTAGTAAATCTATGTTAATCTTGGTACTTTTGCTGCAGGAAGAGGCTAGAAGAGCATTAGAAGGTGCACTTAGTGGGAAGAAAAATGAATTTGAGAAGTGGAACAGAGAAATCAAAAGGCGAGAGGATTTGGGGGGTGGAGGTGATGCGGGTGGAGGAGGTTGGTTTGGGAGGGGTGGATGGTTTGGCTGGTCTAATGATGACAAATTTTGGCAAGAAGCAAAACAAGCAAGTCTTACTTTGCTTGGCATCCTTCTCATTGTAAGAGGTTTCTTTATTCCCCTGTCAATTCTTATGCCATGGTAGTCATAACTAGAGTAAGGAATGAGAAGTCTCTTCTATGTGCTTTTTCAGTATCTCATAGTTGCAAAAGGTGAGCTTCTCCTAGCTGTCATCTTAAACCCACTGCTCTATGCGCTGCGAGGAACAAGAAATGGCTTCAGTTTCATAACATCAAAAATCTTGAAAATTACCAACGGTGGTAATCAGACCAGCTTTGATAGCATTTTGAAGAAGGAAGACTACCAGCGCCCTTCCGCTAAGGAGAATGTTATAAGGAAATGGGGGAGTGACTAAAAGCTAAAGTTTGTTACAGGGCTGGGATTACTTCCTTCCTATATACAAATCTAACTGTGACAATTATCGCTGTAGCTCAACTGTAATTTTTCCTCATCTGGTAAGAGTTCAATTTTGTGTGCTCCACCATTTCTGTCCGCATGAATTAGCTCAGTTCAACATTGTGCTCGTATATCAAACTGCCTTCTATAAGCTTGCGTTTTAAATGAATTGGGATAAGAGCTTGCATCTCTCTGCAGCATTTTGTTAAGAGGGGATTCCATCTTGTTTATCAATCTGATATAGTCGCACTTCCCATGTAAAAACGTACGACTTTTAGTTGATGTTGAGTAGGTGAAACTTCTAGCCTCTCAATCAATTAGAAGCCTATTCATAATAACGTGTGCATAACAGGGATATTTTTTCATATATCTTGCTGAATTTATCTTACCTCGTGGGAATTATATTGGCCGGAGGGGAAAAGTCATGGGAATTTAACAGAGGAAATAGTAGTTAGGTCTAAAAAAAAACTAATTTAATGATATTCAAGTCCCAGAATATTTTGAAAAGAGTTGCAGACATTTACAGCTGATTTTAAGGATTACAAATATTGAAGTCTCAATTGCATTTTACTAGAAATAAGGACAGGTGACTTTAAGTGATTGGAAATGATGACTCCTAAATATTGACAGCTCATCCTCTTTCAAAATATTTTGAAACGCTGTCGTTATTCTCCATTTAATATGGTTAATACTTTGTTGATACTTTATACCCAATTTCATGGTGTCGAAATTGAGTTTCGAACTTCGAATTCTTGGTATGATGCGGAGTTTCTGCAGACGTTGGAACGTAATGTCAGGTTTGGAACTTGTTAGGCTGGAGACAAGATACAGTTTAACTCCCGTTACATATCCAAAAAGATACTATGAATTGGAAAATGAAGTGGAGGAGGCCCTGCAAGTACAAGCTATCATTAGACAGAGACAGACATGTAGTGTCCATGCCTCTTTAATGTTTGGAGTCTGGTGGCCGAAGTTATTGGAAATGAATAGCTTCATGAGGTAGAACGTGCCACTGAAAATCAAAATTCAAGGGCATCGATTTGGAGATATCAGAGTCATGTGAGCTGTGTGGTATTATAAATTTTGACATGTAGGTGCCTTTATGGGATGTGGCTGTCACGTCCCACCAACGGGCCACCCAGGGAACCACAACACAATACTAAATACTATGTGAGCTGTCATGAAGATTGACATTTGCACGCTTTTCCTTTCCCCTTATTTGGCCTTTTTTGTGTAACTGGTGAAGAAAATGTCGATGATGTTAGTCAAACGCCTCGGCATCCATGACACACTAACGCCACATTTGTTGATTGGCTTATGATTTTGTTTTTTACTTTTGCAATTCTGATTGCCGCCGCCGCACACTATCACGTTCCAAACGCGTCGTCGGAACTTCTAAATTCAACAAGTTGGTAACAGGTTTGGAAGACTAATGGCGTTTCCTCAACCAACAAGTTGGAAACAAACCACCCCTTGGTTTTCTTCTCCAGGATCACCACTTCACTAGGTTGGGCACCCATGGATTTTTTTGGGTGTTATGAGATTATTTCTTTTTCTTTTTCGTAACTTATAATTTGGATAACTTTTGAATAACTTTTTTTTTTTTTGTAAAACATCTTATAAACAGGATTAGAGTAGTACAATAGTTGTAAGTGATTGATAGAATTAAAGCTTCTTTACGTCAATTATTGCATAAAAGATTTGCATATATGTTTTTAGGTCAAACCATTTTAGATGTCGCCTGGCAAAATCAATACAATTATAAAAGGTACAACTTTTGCCAAATAAAAGAGGATCTGCATTTGTCAATGACAGTGATTATTTTACTTTAAGAACTAATAATGATAATTTAAATGTTATTTAAAAAAAAGACTTTTTTAGAGATCTTGTATTAATATTACGAGTTATCATTATCGGGGCTTGAGTATTATTGGTTAACAGGGGACGTGGTGTGGTGATACGAAAAGTGGAATAAAATCGGGAGGGATTGACAAACGCACGTTGTCATCTACAATACAGTCTCTCAATTATTTCATCTTTTATTCCTCTAATCCAACCACACGACATTTGCATCATCTATTTGAATCAGAATAAAATCTATGAGCTGAAATGGAGGAGATTCACTCGAACTCTAGCACCAATTTTTCCTCTAAAATGTCTGGGTCGCACTCTTCTTTGATTCTCTTTGAAACCTTTCTGCCATGTGATATAGCAGAGTCAAACTTTATTTCGTTAGAAACAATACTACAAAATTTTTTGCTTGGACCTGGCAGATCAACACTGATTTTTTGACGTACATAGCTTATTAAGATCTTTTCCTTTTTGCTGTTTTTTTTTTTTCAGTCACAACTCACAAATATTAAACTAACTTTTACTTTTCAGCATTTTTCATTTTTAGACAGCTGTACTTTAACCCCTTTTTTTTAATATATTGATCCATTTTACCCAAAATAAACCACTCAACAAAGCAAACTAAACCACCTCATATTTAAAGCCATGGTGAACTCTGTTGAATTTGGATCCAATTGAGTCAAGCATCAAACTAAGAGTAGCTTTTTTAATCTACATTTATACAGATCTAAACATGGATAGTATATCATATTTAAAGTCAAGTTTGGTCTCTTTTATCAGAATCAACACTACATGTTGGTTTGGAAACATTATTTATTTTATTTTTATTTTTTAATGGTTCCCACATCCATCCCCATTGATTGTTTTTTCTCCTTTACCTAAACTTGAATTTTGGTGGGGGCGATTCTGATTGACTTTTTTTAGACGGCACCATTTTCCAGACCAATCATATTTCATACCAACAATTGTCCCCAAAATCAGTGGACAAACCTGCAGCTATTTACAGCTTGGTTATCCTCTCTCTCCAATTTTAAGTTGGAGACAAAAGAATATTTTTAATTTTATTTATAAGTTATATTATTGATTTTTTACCATAACTTTTTTTTAACTCTTTATTAAATATTGATAAGAAAACAATACTCATCTAATCCTATTGATTACGTCCATTTTTATTCTTTTGCTCATAAAATATTAATTGTTGGGAATATAATTAAATACTAGAGTATTATAATACGTATATTTAATAAAAACAGAGTTAAAAATTTGTCAAATTTTTAAATAGAATGAATAAAATTTAAGATTTTCTTAACCATAAGAAAACATGTTAAAAGCAGTATAAATGAATAAAATTTAAGTTTTTCTAAACTATAAGAAAACATGTTAAAAGCAGTATAATTTACAAATCGTGGCTGAACAGTAGTAGTATCTGATTCAGCAGTCAAATGACCTGTTTTGCTCACAGCCCCCATAGAAAAAATAAAGCTGTCAAATTACATGTTAATGCATGGGACAGTCGCATATTTAGATCTCTATATTTCAAAAATATTTTTATTAAGTCACGTTACTGATTACTGCGTACTATCTACTCTGCGTTTTGCATTTAGTTCTTGATTCTTGATTCTTGATGCATTCACAGAAAGTCACGAGACCCAACTTTGTCCCACCCAATCCCCAATTCCTCATTCTTAGGTTGGGCTGTCTATTGTGTTGTGTGTTTCTGTGCAACTGTGCCCTAAATTACTATTTACTGGTCTTTCCTGCAATAATTTTGTTTCTGTTTTTTTTAAATCAACATTTCACAACAAAATTAAGTTAACGTACCATGCATATACATTAGAGATCGAAGCGACTATGATCATTAAAATATAAAATTTTAAATTTAAGTATGTATGAATACAGAAAATATTTTTAAAAGAATTACTTTCAATCAAATTTAACCAGTCAAATAAATATATGAAACATCGATTTGTTTTTTACTTTTAAAGTACTAAAAACAATTTATTTTTCGTGATATACTTTTCCCCCTCTTTGGTAATCCTTCTGACCAGGCTTAACCGAAGAAATGTATTTAGGCTTCATCAGCATCATATTCATACTTCATCTTTTTCTTTAGAGTTTAATAAAAAAAATTTATCACTCACAATTTCTCTCCCATTAAAAATAATTCTATTTAAAATATAATAAGTACTAAATATGGACAATCATGAATCATCATGTTCATAATTCATCATTTTCTTTAGGGTTTTATAATTTTTCAATAAATCCATTTTTCATTTCCTGTGGATTAAAGATAATGAATTGACTAATTGAGTTATCAACCATAGGAAAGCTTGCCTCAAGTCTTGGTCCTCGGGGAAGCTCGTGCTCGAGGATTGACCCTCACGACCTTTTCCTCCTAGCAATATTTCTCGATTGAAGTTGTCTGGACTCTGAACTCTGAACTTCGCCTCACCAAATTCTCTTCAGTTTTCTATCTCTACATTCCCCAAAATATACCCACGCTCTTCTCTCTCTCTCTCTCTCTCTCTCTCTCTCTGTGTGTTCCTTTGCGCCTTCCTGGCGTCTTTTCTTCGCTGCAAGTTATCCTACTGCGTGAACCTGAGCTATCCCATTTTTTCTATTCTATTCCTTTCACCTTTCTGTGATTCTTTGACTCCGTTTCTTTCTCTTCAACTCAAGGTCTTGTCTTTCTTCGTCATACACTTTGGGAGGAAGATTCCGCCAAGTGGGGTTTCTGGTTTCTCTTTGGGTTCCCAGCTTTTCTACCTTGTCTTTTTCTTCTCTTCTCTTTATATTCAGTGTAACTCTGAAGCCTCCACCTCCATACCCGTTTGGAGGGTTTCTTCGCCACTTTTGATGGTCCTTCGATTTTGACGTCCTTTGGTCATTGAGAACATGGGTTTCGATGAAAAAGGCAATGAGGTTCCAGAAACGCCCAACACGGCTAAAACCGCGACGCATGATGAAAGTGGCGACGAAGAAAGGGTGGCTACCGGTATACACAGAAGCGAAAGCTCGGTTGCTTTGACTGAGGAGGAAGACGAGGAGGAGGAGGGCAAAATCGAATTGGGACCCCAATGCACATTGAAAGAGCAGCTTGAAAAAGATAAGGTTGGTTTTTATCTTTTATCTTCTTGTTTTTTTTTTTTTTTGTTTTTTAAAATTTCTATATGTTTTCAGCCGCTTATTGATGTCTTCCTTGTTTTCTGCTTGTGGTTTCAGGATGATGAGAGCTTAAGGAGGTGGAAGGAACAGCTTCTTGGAAGTGTGGACATAACTTCTGTTGGTGGTAATCGCATATTACCGAATTTCTTTCTTTTAAAGTCTGATTGGTAGTCCAAGATTGTGTATAATTCTGTTTTTGGTGCTTCTGAGTAATCTTTGTTCCTTCTCTGTTCTTTACTTCTTTTGTGGTATGCTGTTACTGTATTATGATATTATCATATTAGCAAAAGTGTCTTCACAGAAGGCTGCAAGATTAGTTATAAGCGGATTTTATCTAGGGGGTTATAGGAAGGCTTTGAATCATCTTTCCACAATCATCATGCTATAAGCTTCCTGTAAAAAGACTTCCAATGATTTAGATGTAGTCTTTAGACAAATATACAGTTTTCTTTTTTAGACCTCTTTATATTTCAATTCCATTTTTAGTTTGCTGCTGTTTAATTTTGAAATATGTTTATAGTTTTCTGTAATTTCAAACAGATTTAGGTCCTGATATTTGTTAGCTTTTCTTATTAAATCTTCAGTTTCTGATGGTTTTTCCTGTGATAAGATTTGAACACAGAAGATTGATGATAACTATTTCTTCTTGTCCTTTTTGTAAGTCACTTCTAACTAACTCACCAAAATTAAGGTGAGTTAGTTAGAAGAATAAGATTGTCTTAAAAATAATCTTAAAAGTAAATTATTTTCCAATTTTGTCCCTGCATTTAAAAAAGAGTGATTTGATGTGTGAGAAGAGTATTTTTAGGAATTGAAATGTTTCACTTCTTTTTAGAATTTGCTAGAGGGTACTTTCAGAATTGGGCATCAAAGTTTACAAAAAACAAGAAAGTGACTTACGTAAAGGACTGAAAAAAAAACCTTCTAGAATGTGATCAACAAATAGTACCAAACGGAGTACTTCATTTTGTGAATAGCAGCAAGCAAGTAACACACTAAACTATGTACAGATGATTCCTTTGTTTTGTTACAAACAATTCTGAAACAGTTCTTTACTTCTGTTTCCTATGTTTTCTGGGTACTTCAGAATCTCTTGACCCAGAAGTGAAGATCCTGAGCCTTGCAATCAAATCCACTGGTAGACCTGATATTGTTCTTCCAATCCCAGATAATGGAAATCCCAAGGGCTTGTGGTTTACTTTGAAAGAAGGTAGCCATTACAGGCTGGTTTTCACTTTCCAGGTCAACAATAACATTGTTTCAGGTCTCAAGTACACCAACACAGTGTGGAAGACCGGTATCAAGGGTAAGTTTTGTCTTTCTCACTCAGATCAAGATGATAAGTAACCAATGTCAGTCATGAATAAATATGTGAACATGTCAAGTTTATATGACTAGCATATTCCCCCTGCCGTTGAGTCACTGAACAGTTGAATGGAAAAAAAAAACATAAAAGAAGCCACATGCACAGGTGAATAATAACTTAACAATAAACTTGAGGTTAGATTTCTCACTATGGAACCTTGTTACAGTTGACAGCACTAAAGAGATGATAGGAACCTTCAGTCCCCAGGCAGAGCCTTACACTCATGAGATGCCTGAAGAGACGACTCCTTCTGGGATGTTTGCTAGAGGAACCTATTCAGCTAGAAGCAAGGTAATTTTAAGGTGATTTCTTGAAGGAGGAATATAAAATTGGTTGCTAAGATTCTAATTTTCATGAAAACTTGAGGAAGGTGTTCGATACAATTGTATCTTGAATTCAAATCATAAGCTGTCTAGAAACTTAACGACCTCTTAGGTGGTGATTGACACGGTTATTTTCATGAGTTTCTATTTGCTCTTTGAACCTACCTTGAGAACAAGAAATGCGTATGACAATTGCTATTACTTCACAAGTTCCAATCTTGGGCTCCATTACACGGGTCCATAGTGATAGTGACTTTGTCTGGGAAAGCAAGCAAGCAAGCATGAGTTTTTTTAATGCCTCTTCTGCATCAATCAGTATAGCAATAAATGTTTTCAACAACATATTTCTTGTGTTGAAATTCAAATTTCTGAGAAACATTTTCTTTTGGGGAATGCAGTTTATTGATGATGACAACAAGTGCTACTTGGAGATCAACTACGCATTTGATATCAGGAAGGAGTGGTTTTAGATTTTTTTTTTTTTTTTTTGGCTTTAGAAACGAAGGAGCTGTTCTTTCCCTACGTGACACATTTTTTTAATTAATCTTTCAATGTTTACTAGATTATTTTGTTGTGCCTTTTTTATGTGTTTGTAATCTTGTCTGAGACCTGTAATCTTAACAATGATGAGAGGATTTTGAGGGCAATAAGGGAAATTCATTTGATACGTAGCCGCTCAATTGAGGTTTTTTTTTTTTTTTTGTATTGGGGGGCTTAAATTCGTGTATGTTTACATATTTTCCCGCAAAACCTGAGGTGATTTCTTCACTATACATTTGTTAGTACGTTAGTAAAATTTAAGGAGTTAAGGGGGCAAAAATATTCCAAAAGTTTTATTAAAAAAGTAATCAATACTCTTACATTTTAAAAGAGTAATGTGTCTTTAAAAATGTTATAAGTAGATTAATGTTGTCTCTCTCTAACTAACAAAATTTTGACAAGTACTAAAGATGATACAGCCGGCAAGTCTTTACATTGAATGGGACACCACGTGGATTAGCATAGCAAACCTCACCTACCCAGCATCTCCCTCCACCTTCTTGAGATTTCCTCTGCCCAACATCCCCCTTCACCTTTTGAGAACCCACATATCTTTGAGTTCTTTGAGATTTCCTTTGCCATCCAAAATTTCCTATCCTCGAAACACTCCTCTTCCTCTTCATCTTGGCAATGCTCCATTCGCAACAAGGATGTTTTGGTTTTCCAGCGCAAGTTTTGTTGTCCCATAGACTTGTCGGAGCTCTGAGATTAGCTTGCTGTCATTTGCCAGAGCCACCATAGTAGCTTAATCAAACTTCTCAGGGCATCGGTCTTCGATAATTGCATTTATCTTGTGTATGACCATGTTTAAGGTGTGAATCTCGATTATTGTCTTCGAAATCGTTTGGATCCCAGCTTCACTAGTCCCTAGACTTGGCTTTCTCAAATGCAAATCTCCACTGATCTTGCCCACGGGCTTGATTACATCTGTCATTTTCCGGCCTCACTGGCCCAGTATCCATCTTGCTTTGTTCCTGGTTACAGAACCCTCTCTCTATTCGTCCAATCTGATATAGCATGATCAAATCAAACTCAGGTAAAGAATTATGGCTTTGGAATGGAATTGGTTATAACCCATTCACCTCGGAATCTTTTCCCTTTGGAGATGTCACTGACAAGGAACAAACCCAAAATATTTTGGTTTGGTATATGTTTGCTTGTGTTGTGTGTTTTTTTTCCATATCTTCAGTTGCGGCAAATCTTTAAGGATTTGGACAAGTAAAGTTGAGAGTGTGTGAAGAAGAAGGAAAGTCACTGAGCCATGTGTAGCAGCAGTTAGGCAAGCATGAAGCTCAAGCTCGAGAGGAAGCGATTGTGGAGCATTTGTCTCGTTGGAGAAGACGTGTGAGAATGCGAGAAGGGTGTTTGCTACCACATGGCTTGTCACATCAGAGCTTTCAATCCTCTTTTGATCAACTATTAATCAAACATTGGTCAAAAGTTGAAAAAAAGATTACATTGCTTCATTTTTAACACTTCTAAAACACCATTGTTCTTTTTAAAAGGTCTTCTAAAGCACCATTGCTCTTTTTAAAAGGGGTGAGGGTAATAAGTTCTTTTTTAAAAAAACTTTCCATACATTGTTGCTCTCAATCAACTAAGTTGCTAATTTTTCATGTTAAGTTGTTAATTTCTTATATTAAAATTGTTAATCTTCTATTGACAATTGACATATTAGATTTAACAATTTCAATACATGAGATTGATAATTAATGCTTTGCAACTCACATTAGTTTTTAATATAAATAATATTTTACATATATTTATCATGTGTTCAATAGTTTAGTAGCAATGTGAATTTTTAGGATTGGTTTACCAAAAATAAATTTGAAGATCCTAGAGATTTGTTCTCAAATTTTTATAATGATCATGCTCGCCCCATCAATAATTTGTTTGTTGATGCCAAAGTTTAGGTTGCCAATGATTAGTTGATAGTGATAGCTCTAGCGACCACAAGGGGGGGAGAGAGGTGAATTTCTCCTTAACCCCGTACATCGCATGGGAATTTCTAGTTTTATTATCAATATAGAATATAAAATAATTAATTTTCTTTAGTATAAAATGCACATGTTTTTTTGACAATTAAAGCACATATACATGATATTTAATGAGTGTTAATTTGAAAATGTGCAATTGTTTTAAAAAATAAAAGTTTCAACTAATTTTTTCATAATTGTAGTTACAAACATCCTATCTAATTAATTAAGAAAAATATTTTCCTTCAATAACATCTAGTGAGCGGATAGGAAAACTTGTTGTAAAAAGTGAATTACATCCACTTTATGAGCTTGTTTGGATTAACATTTGAAAACTAAATCTTGCATAAACTATAGTTTGCAAACTAAAACTATGTTAAAAGTTAGTTATTATAATGTGATCTATGTTTGAATTCTTTTTTTCAATTGAAACTTGTTTGGATAGAATGATTAAAAGCAAGTTTTAAATATATAATAACAAAAATGTACATGGATTTTAACATCTTGGGCTCTCATTAAATGTAAGAACTAAAATGGAAGCAATCATGTTTAGGTAATTTTTGCACAGCAACGTTACCTTCTTCACTCGTGTAAGAATTTCTGGACTTGAAGCAACAAGGGACACACCCTCTGGCCTGATACCAGTATGCTTGAAATAAATTAGACAATTTGAAAGCAAAATAACAATAATAAACAGAATAAAATGAAACAAAATAAAAAGGAGTAAGAGAAATTGGAAAACTTGTAGATAAGTCATGCATGGACTAGGATTAAACAATCCTCAGTGCTCTGTAGACTTCAAATGGGTCTGCAAATGTCTGCCGTTCAAATTGCTGACTTAATACAATCTTAAAAATATCACCAGCTAGAATGTTTTCTTTCGCCTGCAGCACTGCCTTCTTGTATCCCACTTGCCATGTTGATGCCTCCAGCTTAGGACCAAAAATATGAGTGTCCAACTTTATTGAACCTGCTGGCATCCTGGGGTAATTATATCATGCACCAGGGACATCAGTGTTTCCAATCGGTTCATTCCATCAATTGAGAGCCTCCTCAGCAGAAGAATAGCGATCTAATTGCACCCAATGAATCACATGAACTTTCTTCTCAACATGGTCGAAAGAGTTAAAAACTAAAAGGACCAAAAAAGGAAATGGGTTAGTTTAAAAAAAAAAAAACTAAAGAGGACATGAATTATATGTCTCTCTCACTTTATATATATGTATATATTTTATAAGTATGCCAATTGAAAAATATAAGAAAAAATATTAAACTTATAATTATGAAAATAAAAGAGTTAATGTATTAATGTAAAATATTTTTAAATACTAAAAAAATTAATTAGAACTCTTTAAAGACTATATATATATAATTTAAAAATATTAAATTCTAAACAATAAAAATATCAATTTCAAAAGGAAATGTGGAAGGATAAATAGATTATTCAATAAAATTAAAATGCATTGCCAATGATTAGATTTTAACATAATTAATAAAAAAAATTTAAAATCTAGCTTTTGACTTAATTATAGTTGATAAAAAAAGCTCATTTATTAACTAGTTTCACCCAAACATGTTTTTTTTTTAAATTTTTAACTGATTTTTAAACTTACAAACTATAGTTTAAACTTTAAACCAACTAAATGAAATTTCAAACTAGCACTATACTTTTCATTCTGCCTTGAATGTAGCACAGGAAACAACGTATAATTAGTGGTCTGTTTGTTATCATGGAATCGATTTTCTAGGAATAAATCGATTTTAAAGGCAAATTACCCACATAGCAACAAAACGAGATAATCGATTAAATGGGTGTAAAATTAATTTTTTTGTTAAGCTGAATTGTGGAGCTTCTGCAAAAACGCTATCAAAAAGCATTGGAAAAAATTATAAAGAAAGACCCAAAAAATTATAAAAAAAACACAAAATTTAATAAAAAAAAACCAAACTCTCTTCTTTTTTTTTCTCAATAAAATTCAAACTTTTGATCCTCAAAAAAGTTATTATCATAAGTTTCTATCAATTACCACCATCCACTAGCACTTACTATAAAACTTATTTAAATAAAATATTAATTGGTAAGAGAAAAATTAATTTAATCAATTTTATTAAAATTAATTTTAATAAAATAATATTCAAACAGATTACGTTATAACATAATTATATTATAATTAAAATTTATCATTTAATTAATTATTTTTATGATATATTATATTTAATTGAAATTCAAACAGGCACTTATATGCGAGAGGATAGCAAACATCAACGGACGAACAACAGCTTAGATAATTAGAACCTCAATCTTTCCATCACCAAGCAAAACGTTTTTTAGGGGAGAAGCAAAAACATGTGACGATAAGCAATCTTCAATGTTGATAGTTGATAGAGGGCATCAATTAATAGGGTCCCAAATTGTGTTGAGTACTTAGACTTAAGGGGCCGTTCGTTTTCTCTCTTTTCACTTCAATCCCCACTCTAATCTCACTCTAAAAAAGTGTTTAGGGATCAAAGGAACTAACTAAGTATCAAAACTCAAGAGTCAATATCATCATTATAAATTATATATATCAAATATCTTCGCAGAATTTAAGGAAAGGCTTAAATTGTAAAATGATAAGTATGATTTTTAATATTTCTCTTGTCAGCATGCGTTCAAAAAATATCTATCATAAACAACACAAATTGCCTCCATGGCAATGAGATGGGTATAGGTATTGAACAACATATTCTTTTATCATGAAAAAAATTGGCTACTAAATAGAAAAAATTCCACATTGAATGCCACCACTTCCATCGGATGAATTTTCACTCCAAGTAGATGCGACTCTCAATTTTGTTCTTAATAGTATAATTTAATATTGTGATGAGGATGGATAAAAACACACGATTAATATCTATTCTCTTTTTGTTAAGACGAGTATGAATTGATAAATTACTCAAAAATATCATGATATCTCTTATATTAAAAATAAAATAAACTTTTAAAAATACCATTACAAAATAGAGGGCGTAACAAAACAACCTCTTCATTCATTCTCAATGTTTTAGCTTCAGCCTTAAATTGAAGGCGAGATAACCAACTATATCAAGGCATGGCTTCAAGTCATAAATCTCTCTCTTACTATTTTCTCATTAAAAGCTTCTTCCTCCTCTTGAACCCTTTCTCTGTCTCTTCCTCATATTTCTGTCTGCTCTCTCTTCCTCTCATTATGCTTATCTTGGAGATACTTTCACCTTCTTCAGTTAGCTCACTAACTCCAAGCTCTTCCTCTTTGCTTTTGGCAAAGCCCCCCCCAAAACAACACTTCATTGCTTTTGCTTCTCTTCCAATCAAATTCCACTCTAAAGGGCCAGAACCAACAAACCATGACAAAAACTATAATAAGAGAAGACCTAAAGTCTCCTATGGATTATGCTATTAAAGGTCTAATTGTTTGCCAGGACAGTGAGATCTTATAAATACAAACAGTACTTCTACCCAAGTTGGTCTTGACCCTTTATAGCATTCACTTGTATGTTTCCCTTAACATCATTATAATG